GATTAACAGAGAGTTTCAGAATATTAGAGATTTGAGAAGGGCTGCAAAAAGGAAAAATAGGAGTAAGATTCCACTTATCATGATCCCAGAGGTCCTTGACAAACTTTGGAGAGGCTGGAGCAAATTGATCATTCAGAAGATTGCCTTCCAAAGACCAGTTATCCCACCATATGTTAACCAATCCCTCACCAATGTCCCAGAAATACATTTTTTCAGCTTCCTCCTTATCCAGCAACATCTTTTTCCAAAAGGGGGAATCCCCCAAACCCACAGATACATGGGTAGGGTGTTGATGCTTGCAATATTTTTCCCTTAAGAACTCAGCCCAAAGTGAGGACTGAGATTTGAATTTGATCCAAAGTTTGCAGAGGTTAGTATGCATAATTTGGGGGAAGGACTTGAAGCCTAACCCACCTTCCATAAAAGGTTTACATACCTTAGCCCAATTAGTCCAATGTTTTTGCTTCCTTTGACCAGCCCATATAAATCTATTGAAAATTCCTTCAAATAATCTTTGAGTAGACTTTTTCAGAATATTCATTTGCCGTAGATATGAGGGAATAACAGATAAAACACTTTTCAAAAGTGTTATCCTACCCCCATTGGATAAAAAGGAATTCTCCCATTCTTGAAGCTTCCTTTGAATCTTTTCTAAAATGCGATGAAACTGAAAGTATTTTGTTCTTCCTTTGATAAGAATTACCCCAAGATATTTCACAGGGAGATGGCCATTGGTAAAGCCACTGAAATCAGAAACCCAGGTCTTTAGCTCACTTTTTCATTGCCTGCTGAAGATGGAGATACACTTCTGCTTATTTAATTTCATACCAGAGGCCTCCTGAAAACTCTCCAAGCTTTGCATGAATAATTTAACAGCAGATTTGGAAGCTTTTGAAAAAATGATGATGTCATCAGCAAAGGCCAGATGATTAATTAAGATGGAAGATCTATGGCTATAAAGGGAGTGGGGTTTCCCGGTAGCCAGCTCATTCAAGATTCTAGATAAGTAGTCAAAAACCGAAATAAAAATGGTAGGGGAAAGGGGGTCACCTTGTTTGATACCTCTAGATGCACTGAAAAATCCTTGGGAGGTTCCATTGATGAAGATGGAATGAAAATTATTAGTCAGCCATCTGTTGATTAGAGAGATAGAGGATGGGGAAAAACCTCTAGCAATGAGAACTTATTCAATAAACCTCCAACTGATTGTGTCCTATGCCTTTTTTATATCCAATTTGAGAATTAAGTTACCTCCTCTATTGGTTCTATCCAAATCCAGTACCAACTCTTGAGCCAAGAGCACATTATCAACAATACTTCTATCCTTGATGAAGGTTGTTTGATTCCTGCATATAAGCTGATCTAAATGAGGTTGTAATCTATGGACCTGAACTTTGCTTATTATCTTGGATATAATAGAAGTGAGGCTTATGAGTCTGAAATTTTCCCATTTGTGAGCAGTATTTTCCTTTGGAACCAAAGTAATAGTAGATGAGGAGAAATATTTGGGGAGATCAGCCCCACAAAAAAAAAGCTTTGAACAGTAGCAATGACATCACCCTTGACAATCAGCCAGGCCTTTTTATAAAAGTCAGCTGTGAACCCATCAGGTGCAGCTACTTTTGTGCTGTCAATGGAGTTTAGAGCTTCCCATATTTCCTTTTCATCAGGAATATCAGTGAGAGATAAGCTTTTGGTGAACTCCCTTTCCTTATCAAACAAGGCATGCTTTATGGGAGGTTGAGAGGTAGAAGATTGTTTGAAAATATTTTGAAAATATTGAACAACATTTTTAGCTATGCCCTAAGTGGTAGTAATCCAGTGACCCTCCTGAGAAAGGATTTTGT